TCACGTAGCAGTAAACTAATTAAATGGTGTTCATGCTCTCCTGATTTAGCATGGATTATCACCTCTTTAAAAGGAAGCTTCATAATTTATGAGGAAGTTAAAACTTCAATAGTGTCCCTCGTTGAAACAGTTTTAATTCAATCTACAAACTTAATAACTCTTAGTTCATATTGTAATAAAAATGTTAATGGAAGGCTAGTACTATATTTTTCGACGATATAGATTTCATTGAAGGTTCAGATCGATATTGCAATTAGTTCTCGCGTAATAAAATCATGATATAAGCGATACGACGCGACGTTCTGGTGACTTCAATGCGTGGTAAGAGCACTATCGTCGGTCGCGAAACTTAATAATTCCTCTCTTGTTTCATATTGTAATAAAAATATTAATGGAAGGCTAGTGCTATGTTTTTCGACGATATAGATTTCATTGAAAGTTCAGATCGATAATGCAACTAGTTTTCGCGTAATAAAATCATGATATAAACGATACAACGCGACGTTCTGGTGACTTCAATGCGTGGTGAGAGCACTATCGTCGGTCGCGAAACTTAATAATTCCTCTCTTGTTTCATATTGTAATAAAAATGTTAATGGAAGGCTAGTGCTATATTTTTCGACGATATAGATTTCATTGAAGGTTCAGATCGATATTGCAATTAGTTCTCGCGTAATAAAATCATGATATAAGCGATACGACGCGACGTTCTGGTGACTTCAATGCGTGGTGAGAGCACTATCGTCGGTCGCGAAACTTAATAATTCCTCTCTTGTTTCATATTGTAATAAAAATATTAATGGAAGGCTAGTGCTATGTTTTTCGACGATATAGATTTCATTGAAAGTTCAGATCGATAATGCAAGTAGTTTTCGCGTAATAAAACCATGATATAAACGATACGACGCGACGTTCTGGTGACTTCAATGCGTGGTAAGAGTACTATCGTCGGTCGCGAAGTGAGAATCTGCCATTCAGCTTGAAGAATCCGCCCAATATGTTAATAAGAAAAGAAACTCATGAATTTCGATTTGCATATTCCGATTTTGATTGTAATTTATCATCTTAGGTAACTTTTCTCTCGTTTCTGCGTGGATACGTCGCTTCAGAAGCAAAATAACTTTCGTCGTGTCTGAGAGAGTGATTAGAGCCATTAGAAGATTATTCAAACAGTTTTTTGTCACCCAGTTAGCAAGGTGCTTACGTGGATGTCTCGATCGCTATTAAAAATCGTCATAATTTACTAGTGATGTACTAGTTCAGTGGCCTGTCAGGCAGTTTATTAGGTAATCGTTCCGTTGTTACGTTAAATCCGTCGAATCGAAACTTTTTGTCCTCCGATCGAGGGGATCCTCCTTCGTGCACAATCGATTATACAATATCGTCTCGCCTCACGATTAACAGTGCAAAAAAGAAAAAGTCACGACCCGTGCATCGGTGCACGAGCCTCTACGAACTCGACCGATTATCTAATGTCGTGGCATCTATATTTACAATGTGCAGGGGAGACCACTCAACGAAACCTGATCAACATAAATTTCACTAAAACTATGCAGCACTGAAATTTACGAGCATCGAAATCGACGCAATTGATTTCAGAGCCAATTTCAGACACTGATTAACCTGTTTCTAAAAATGTAAACAATCTATATTGTATTGATTATCACTTGAATGCTGTTATTGTTGTTATTAATAGCAAAGAGCTACTTTAAATTGATTACAAAGATCTCAACTCATGATTTTGAAAGTATTTTTGTTATTTAGATATTTTTTTAAATTACAGTCGTTTGTTTCTTCACTGATTAAATGGTTTTCCACCGAGCTTTGAGGTGTTTTAAACCCGACATAACGGTTCTGTAATATCGTGACCATAAACTAGAGTCTTTTTCATTCATAACTGCCATTACATCATGCTCTTAAAGGGTATTGGCCAGAATCTTTATCGAACACTATGAAACAGTTATTTTCTGAACCTTCTTGATCTCCTATACCAGCTGAGGGCCATAAAACTACACAAATTACTATAAATTACTATACAAAAGTAGACAAGTTATTCTAAAATCGTCCCAGAACCTTTTCGAATCAAAATTTTAGATTAAATTAGAGACTAAATTAGAGACCTGAAAGCTGCATGGAAACTTCGAGTCTGTAAAGGTTAAATTAATACGAAGGAGTGCTTCTTCGTACATATTGCATAAAACGCAGCAAAGTATGTAACGCGTGTCTGTTTTCGCAGCAAATTGTTCGTTAAATAAAGAAGTCCACGAAGGATGGAAAGATTATCGAGAACGTCGAGTATAAGATGTAACAACGAGACTTCTTATACCTTCGATTACGTGGTTAATCGTTGTGCAGCTTCCGATCAATTACAAGGATGATAAAAAGAAAAATTCAGAGAACAGATCTTCTCGCGAAGAGGAGTCATCATCTTCCCTTTCCATTTCAACGTGGCCGCTCTTCCCGTGAATTATCATAAGTGATCGGGCTTACGTAACGGAGCAGCCACTTTCTTTTTAAAGCTCGTGCACGTATTTTCTTTCTCCTTGCTCGCGTTAGACAACGGGGAACGCTCGGCGGAAGAATGGCGGACGCAGCGAAGGTTGCGTTTACGCAATCCTCCCCGGTTCTTTATTTTTAACCTTTCAGGCTTTGAATATATTTGCAAGATTTAAACGCTACGATACCGCGAACCATGTTTTCGATACACGCTGTGAATTCTGTCCAGGGGCAATCAAATGCCACGGTTTTGCTTTTGAAATTTGAAATTATTGCAAACCAGTCGTCTCACTTGTTTATTCTATGTTATTTCTTTTTATCGAATTTTAGTTTGTCTATTTCAGTTTGTCTAGTTTGAAATTCTGTTTTATATTTTTGACTATTTTTAATTCATAAGAGATAATTACTTTTATTAAAAATAAGAACAAAAAAATAATAATATCTATCTTTCAAATTCTGTTTTATATTTTCGACTATTTTTTAATTAATCCCTTGTCGTAAGAGATAATTATTTTGATTAAAAATAAGAACAAATATAATAATATCTATCTTTCAAATTCTGTTTTATATTTTTGACTATTTTTAATTAATCCCTTGTCGTAAGAGATAATTACTTCTATTAAAAATAATAATATCTATCTTTCAAGGAAACATTGAATTTATAATGATATTAATTTGTTTATTTTTATTTTAGATTTATTATGATATTTATTTGAATTTTGTCAATTTCTGAGGCCTCCAATTTATATCTATAGAAGCTGAATAACTTTGATGTAAAATAGGTATTCGTTAGAGAATATTCATTCTGATATCGAAATTCATCTTTCGGGAAGGCAGATACCTGTTTACGTGACCTCCGGATCTTCCCGCTTCGATCAATTTTGTAAAAAAAAAAAATGGAAACGCTGGAAGGTCCAGGATGTCGTAACGCAGACCAATTTCAATTTGTGGCCTCTTCGATACACTGTGTTGGAGCTTTTAACTGGTTTTATCGATATCCCTATTAAAAGAAGACCCCCATTGCATAACGAAAACCTTCTGTAACATCGACGATCCTTCGTAATATCGACTATCTCGTAAGTTTCTTCGATCAGAAATGGACGGAGTTTAATTTCTTGTCATAAATAACCAATAACATCAACGCTCAGCTATTTATTCGTGACGTTTACTCGACAGTTAAATTCAGATTCATTTTTAAATAGCTTCTACTCTATGATCGATATTTTTTATTTTTATTTGAAATTTTTATCCAGATAAGAATTTATAGTTTTAACAACAGAAATAAACGTTAGGTAATAACTGCTCATCAGAGAACTTATAATGACAACTCTTCGAGGCATTCATTTTTTAAACGATTCAGAACTAATCGGAAACAATTTCAGAATTTGAAATTATAATCACTCGTACTCGTGATGGCAAAAGCAATGCACAGGCAGTAATTCTTATAATTGTAAATTCTAGGATCTCCGGAGAATCTTCGTAGTGGAATTGTTTAAAAAATAAATGTTTCAAGGCCAGTAAACGTTAGTTAAGCATAGAAATTTACATGTTTCTGCACGTGCAATGCAATAGAACTCTAAACTTCGGTAGTATGCATATGTTTCTTATAGAATTATGCACATTTGGCATTAGGGAAAGATTTTTTATACTTGGTACTCTGAGTAGTAGTAAAATATGGTCGCCATTTCATTTTATTAGTAAAATTTTATTGTCAGGATTGATTAATTTAGTTTCTGATAGCACAGATTTACTTATATGTCTATTTGTTTATAGTTGTTTCTATTGTTTGAATAGTGTTTACTGCATTTACATGTGAAAGGCTTGAAATTTATATACAATGTTCAGTATATATATTTCAACTTTAATTTTGTTTCAAATTAATAAAATAAATTCGAAAATGCTATTGTTAAAACACACATATCTCTCTATTAGTTTATTAGTTTATTAATCAAGATCTTACTGTATTCAACATAAGCTACAAAATTCACTAACTCATGCAAAAGAGTTTTAGACTTATTAAAAGACACTAAAGTATACCAATTGCTCCAAATGTGACGAGTTCCACCAGGTAACCCAATTGTGGTCACTAATAACCAACAAGGTGCATGTGACCTAAAACACTCAAAAAAAAAAAGAGTTGAAAGTTAAAAAATTGCTGTTACTTCAATTTTAACGTTTCCAATCGACTTCCGGTTAGAATGACCCACCAGGTGTGTTCTTTGAGGGCTTCCTGATGCTTCCTCTGAAGCATCCAATTGTTCCATCCAATTTTGGTCAGACTCTTTCGGTGAAACGATGCTCTTGGGCTGCTCTTCCTCGAATTCCTGTCTGACATTCACCGCCTCTTCTCCATTGTCGGTCCATCGTCTGGGCCAATGCCTACACGACGATTTCGACACCGTGGCCAAGCACATTTGGGCGAAACGAACTCTGGAGGGGGTAATATTCATATCGAAATCCGGCTATATAATCGCCCCGTGGGGCTATCATCGAATCAGTATCGTGATTTAGCTCAGCTCAGGGTCTAGACCGCCTCATCTCCCCCGAGAAGCAACGATCAATCAACCAAAAACGCCAACGATGAAGCTGGTGCGTGTTCACCGTTGACTAGAAAACACTCGTAACACCGGATACCAAGTGCATTCGCGTCTGATCTAACGAAGACGAAGATCCACGTTGTTCTCCCTCGAAATCGTTGTTACGAGAGAGCAATTAACGCTTTGCTGGGGATCGTTACGTATCATTTAACGATCACACGCTAGAATCCGCTATCATTGTTCTCCAGTTCGTCGTAGATCTTCAGCGTACGGTTAACGGATCTACGTATCATTCTCCTCGTTGAACCAGTGACGTAATCAAGCTGGACTATTACACTACGTGAAAATCGCGATAATTAAAACGGTCAAACGCCATTACACCAGGACTCAATCACGCAACATGTGTGCCTCGCGAATTAACGAGACTCCTTTAACACGCTCACTGCCAGACTTTTCGATTTTTAAACCATTGCAAACTGCGTAACATCAAATTCGACTCGGTGTTTATTTCTGTAAGCTTGCTCGTAGTCCGAACATGAGAATTAATTTTTCTAGTTTCACTGTGGAAGTCAAAGTATTAACGAGGCTCCTAAGTTGACTGTCCATTGATCCCCATGTGGGTCATGCAGTTTTTATTCAGTTATTACTGTTAGCATTAACGATACTTGCTATTATAGTGTACAGAGTAAATATCCTCAGTATCTGAGGGATTTTTTATAAAAAAAAGATGGTAGAATGTTTTACTTTTCTGAGAATTTTATTGTCTCTTTGGAAGTCAAAGTATTAACGAGACTCCTAAGTTGACTGTCCATTGATCCCCATGTGGGTCATGCAGTTTTTATTCAGTTATTACTGTTAGCATTAACGATACTTGCTATTATAGTGTACAGAGTAAATATCCTCAGTATCTGAGGGATTTTTGATAAAAAAAAGATGGTAGAATGTTTTACTTTTCTGAGAATTTTATTGTCTCTTTGGAAGTCAAAGTATTAACGAGACTCCTAAGTTGACTGTCCATTGATCCCCATGTGGGTCATGCAGTTTTTATTCAGTTATTACTGTTAGCATTAACGATACTTGCTATTATAGTGTACAGAGTAAATATCCTCAGTATCTGAAGGATTTTTGATAAAAAAAAGATGGTAGAATGTTTTACTTTTCTGAGAATTTTATTGTCTCTTTGGAAGTCAAAGTATTAACGAGGCTCCTAAGTTGACTGTCCATTGATCCCCATGTGGGTCATGCAGTTTTTATTCAGTTATTACTGTTAGCATTAACGATACTTGCTATTATAGTGTACAGAGTAAATATCCTCAGTATCTGAGGGATTTTTGATAAAAAAAAGATGGTAGAATGTTTTACTTTTCTGAGAATTTTATTGTCTCTTTGGAAGTCAAAGTATTAACGAGACTCCTAAGTTGACTGTCCATTGATCCCCATGTGGGTCATGCAGTTTTTATTCAGTTATTACTGTTAGCATTAACGATACTTGCTATTATAGTGTACAGAGTAAATATCCTCAGTATCTGAAGGATTTTTGATAAAAAAAAGATGGTAGAATGGTTTATTTCTCTGAGAATTTTATTGTTTCTTTGCACGTTCGAGTGGTAATGGCGATTCCATCGAAGATGACGCTGTTTTGTTAGATCTTGGAGCAGTTTCCTGACGCCCAGGTGTTAATCGTTGGCCTTTCTTCGCAGCTCGTTGTTCTCGCCTTTGTCGTCGCTGTCGCGTACGCTGCACCTCAGGGCTTGCCCGACGACGTTGTCCTGGTGAAGGAAACACCTTCTGACAACATCGGTCTGGGCGGTTACAACTTTGGCTACGAACTCTCCAATGGTCAGTCTCACCAGGAAACCGCGGACGTGATCAACCCGGGGACCGAGAACCAGGCGCTTGCTGTACGTGGAACCTTCTCCTGGGTCGACCCTCAGACCAACATCAGATACACTGTTAACTACGTCGCTGATGAGAACGGTTTCCACCCTCAGGGCGATCACATACCTGCCTGAATTGTACCTTTAGATTAAATAAATTTTGATATTAAATACCTGGTTATCGAACAACCCTGTTAACCCCTTTGAATCTTACCATTTTAGAATTTATTGTTACTGTCTTTGAAATATCATGTTACCATTTTGAACACTTGAAGTGGCATCTTGGTACCATTTTTAACCCTTGAAATGGCATCTTGTTACTGTTTTAAATCATTGAATTATCATCTTGTTACCATTTTTAATCCTTGAAATATCATCTTGATAGCATTTTAAAATCCCTGAAAAGTCATCTTGTTACCATTTTAAACCCCTGAAATTATCATCTTGTTACCATTTTAAATCCTTGAATTATCATCTTGTTACCATTTTGAACCCTTGAAATATCATCTTATTATCATTTTGAATACTTGAAGTGGCATCTTGGTACCGTTTTAAACCCTTGAAATGGCATCTTGTTACTGTTTTAAACCCTTGAAATGTCATCTTGTTACCATTTTTAACCCTTTGCACTCCTATGTCGAGTGTGATTCGACATCAATTATTATCTCAGAAGAGATAATGCTGTTTGGTTTGTTAAACCAAACAGATATCATACACTTGAAAATTACAAAGTACAACAACAGTGTAAATAAAACACCTAAAAGCATTGGGAGCCGCTGGTAACAAAATTGGAATATAATTTGGAGTGCAAAGGGTTAAACCCCTGAAATGTCATCTTGTTACCATTTTAAACCCTTGAAATATCATCTTGTTACTGTTTTAAACCCTTCAAATGTCATCTTGTTATCATTTTAAGTCCTTGAAAATATCATCTGGTTACCATTTTTAATCCTTGAAATATCATCTTGTTACTGTTTTAAACCCTTGAAATTTCATCTTGTTACCATTTTTAATCCTTGAAATGTCATCTTGTTACCATTTTAAACCCTTGAATTATCATCTTGTTACTGTTTTAAATCCTTGAAATATTAATTTGTTACCATTTTAAATCCTTGAAATATCAATTTGTTACCATTTTAAATCCTTGAAATATCATCTTGTTACTGTTTTAAACCCTTGAAATTTCATCTTGTTACCATTTTTAATCCTTGAAATGTCATCTTGTTACCATTTTAAACCCTTGAATTATCATCTTGTTACTGTTTTAAATCCTTGAAATATTAATTTGTTACCATTTTAAATCCTTGAAATATCAATTTGTTACCATTTTAAATCCTTGAAATGTCATCTTGTTACCATTTTTAATCCTTGAAATATCATCTTGATAGCATTTTAAAATCCCTGAAATGTCATCTTGTTACCATTTTTAATCCTTGAAATATCACCTTGTTACCATTTTAAATCCTTGAAATATCATCTTGTTACCATTTTTAACCCTTCATTATTGAGTAAAACTTGTGATTCAACTGGAACTTGGAACTAATTTAGACCAAACAGGGCCAAAATTAAATTTCTTTTTAAATAATCCTATATGTGGTAAAAAGAAACTTCAAAAGATTTGAATAAAACTGTATTCGTTTTAGTTTTCATGGAAATAGATAGTTTTAAGTTTTAAGGGAAAAGATTCTGATTCAATTAATACCACAATATTAATGTTACATTTATTAAGGCTTGATTAAACATTTTTAGAAATTGAAAACCATCGATTTACCATTAAATAATTCGTTAAGAATATAGGTACATAAATCATATTATTCGCTTTAAAAAATACCCCTGATAATTGTGGGGGATAAATATGAAACCTGCTATTTTAGAAAATATACAGGTTTTATTGAATTAATTAAGAAAAATTTCAAGTATTTTAAACGATAAACCACAATATAAGTCTACTGTTATCAATTTTGTGGAATTGTTTAAGTAATCGATGTTAATAAAACGATAATTTCAATTAAAAGGAATAGCTTTTGCCTGGAACATTTTTATTATATCTATCATTAGTGAATAAAAGAATAATAACAAAAAGTAGCCTGATTTTGTAGGTTTCGTTTTATCCTCTTACATCGATTTTAATCAGAAAAATTGGAAAAAAGTAGCATTGTTTGTTAGAAACCTTCAATTTTAGAGGTTTTCTGAATTTCTGGGTTAAAGAATTTTCCTTTGTTTAGAGACTGTGGTCCCGATAGTAATATAAAATGTAATTTATTTAGGTTTAATAAACCATACAGCGAAATTACAAAGGTGGTGAAGAAGAGATGTTTCATAAAACTGTTTTCATAGTAATTTACAAGCATGGGAATTCCCCTAGACCGATTAGGCCAGCTTTACTTGGGGGTTCCCCTATGGTCGACCAGTTCTCCGCCATAAAACGCCATCTTGCAACCATAAGCGTTCCACAAAGGCATCTAAGGGAAAAGCAAATCTTTAAATTAAAAAATTGTGTAATAAATTCTCTATTTCGTGTCTTTTTCTATGAAATTATATCGATCAAATATTAAAAAATAAAATAGACTGACACAAAATGGAGTTTAGTAGAAATAATTATTCTTCACAGTTCAGTAACAAAAATACATTATTAAATTATTAAAAAAATAAAATAGACTGACACAAAATGGAGTTTACTAGAAATACTTACAATTAGTCTTCACAGTTCAGTAACAATAATAGATTATCAAATATTAAAAAAATAAAATAGACTGACACAAAATGGAGTTTAGTAGAAATACTTACAATTAGTCTTCACAGTTCAGTAACAATAATAGATTATCAAATATTAAAAAAATAAAATAGACTGACACAAAATGGAGTTTAGTAGAAATACTTACAATTAGTCTTCACAGTTCAGTAACAATAATACATTATTAAATTATTAAAAAAATAAAATAGACTGACACAAAATGGAGTTTACTAGAAATACTCATTCTTCACAGTTCAGTAACAAAAATACATTATTAAATTATTATAAAAATAAAATAGACTGACACAAAATGGAGTTTAGTAGAAATTCTTATTCTTCACAGTTCAGTAAGAAAAATACATTATTAAATTATTAAAAAAATAAAATAGACTGACACAAAATGGAGTTTACTAGAAATACTCATTCTTCACAGTTCAGTAAGAAAAATACATTATAAACTATTAAAAAAATAAAATAGACTGACACAAAATGGAGTTTAGTAGAAATACTTAGTCTTCACAGTTCAGTAACAAAAATACATTATTAAATTATTATAAAAAATAAAATAGACTGACACAAAATGGAGTTTACTAGAAATACATATTCTTCACAGTTCACTAAGAAAAATACATAATCAACTATTAAAAAAATAAAATAGACTAACACAAAATGGAATTTAGTAAGAAATAATTATTCTCCACAGTTTAGTAAGAGAAATATACATATGTATATCAGAGGAATAGTGAACGCAAGACTATGTTGCATAAAGTGTCAACTTTAAACTGTTCCCAATGATGCGGAGAAGATAATTAGGCGGTTGATGAAGCGGTGTCGTAATAATACACGTAAAAGTCGTAAAAGTTCGACCACATAACTGGTTTTCCTTGATTCATCGATACGCGATGTTTGGAAATCGATTATTTTTGCTATGCTTGTCTTCGAACCGATGATTCTTTGAAACATTCATGGCAACAAAGATCTATCAAGAGGATTGTTATAACAGTATCGGCCCAAAGGACTCACTGTTCACGATTAAATGGTACTTATTGTCACTTCGTAAAAAGGACATGAATATGTATCTATAAACATACGGATAACATTTTATTATGCGCATTATTATACAGATTCTACTATTATTAACTATTCTAAAGGTTACATCTGTCATTAATGTCTTTTTTCTTCTTTCGTTGTGGGAGAGAAAAGGTGACAAGGCGAAACAGCGAAGATATAGCTTCGAAAGTATGCTCGTGTCGATATTACAATATTGGAAGAAGAAAGGTTTAAAAATTTACGCTCTCTCGAATTTCTTCCTCTTAAACAATGCTCTCCTATCGATAAACTTTATTATTTATATTATTGACAAGCTTAAAAATATCTATTCTCCATTAATTATGGTTACTTATAAAATATATTCTCATTTTTATATTTGTATATTTATTTAATAATACAAATTTTCATACAAATTAATTCAGCTTCAAATTATAATGTTCCTTTATGTTTTTAATGTCTACTAAAAATTAATTTTTACTGTATATGTGTATAGGAACAATAAAATAATTATAATCTCATTATAAAGATGCAATTTACTTTGTTCATTTATTTTTTATAAAATTGAACTTGAAAATACATGCTTTATAAATAACTATAATATACTATATACTATATGGTTTGTTAAAATCGAATGGATTCTTTCTAAAACCATAATTGTTCATTAGTGGCATTATTAAATATTTCTACTATTATTTATTTATAATTATTTAATTCTTTTTTATCGATTACGGTATTTAATAGTAATTTTAGTGTATTTAATCGTAATCTAATATTCCAAATTAATTTTCGTTGGCCAATTGAAAATTAATCAAAATAAGAATTTCGTATCTGATTGTTTTTTACTATTTAGTAATTTTCTTCTAATATATAATGAAATTTGTAGTTTCGTAATTGAGTATCATTGCATAATACTTAGTTGAACACAGTTTCGTATTGAAATCAAATATAATTTCACGGTTTCATCTTTTCTTATGGGACACATATGAAATCTTATAAAAAATCGAGAACCGAAATTTCGCCAGAGCCGCGCAGTTTTACGATGAAGGTCAAACTGTAAACGATCGTGCCTCTAATATATCGAGGAAAGGTGAAAGGTGAATTTATCGAAATTTGGCAGAAGGAGGATCACTATAAAATTGCAGACGGTCCTGAGGATCCACATCAGTCTTCCAAACCAGACAAGCCACATCTATCTACCATCAAAATGAAAACTGTAGGTATCACAATACTAATCTTACTACAAAGTGAACTAAAAAATATAATTCGAAGCCTATAACATTGTTTATCATTTTGAAGTTGTTGATAAAACACTTAAAAATCGCTCTTTGCTCTCGATATACAATCCATTAATTATTTATTAATTTCTTCCACACTGTTACGCTTCCTCTGTGCAATAGAAACACATAAACTTCCTGTGCATTAATTTAAATAAAATAAAATTACTTTTCTTGTATCATTTGTAATATGAAGATAGTAAAATTTATAAAATAATTAATTTGAACTGTTTTTGTCATTTCGTTTCAAATAAAATGCATCCAAGTTTATTAGTGAACATATAGTGTAACAAATTTTATTTTTTCTAGATCATTGCTTTTGGAACCCTCGTCGCTGTCGCGCTGGCAGTTCCGGTTCCTCCCCCACAAGAGGCAGTGGTGCTTCTCAAGGAAAGTCCTTCCGATAACGTTGGTCTAGGCAATTACAATTATGGTTACGAACTATCAGACGGACAGAGTAAACAGGAAACTGCTGAACTCGTTGCTGGAGGAACGGATGGGCAGTTCCTCAAGGTTCGAGGTAGTTTCTCGTTCGTCGATCCACTTACCAACGTTGCATACACGGTGAATTATCTCGCCGATGAAAATGGTTTCCATCCTGAAGGACAGCATCTTCCCCACGCTTAAACGTATCAAAGGACCCTCGATAGAGATCAACCAGCAGCCGCCATCTTATAACAGTTGATATTTAAATTGGGAGAAAAATTCGAAACAACTGTATATATCACCTATCACTGACACGACAATGTCGGTTCTACTTTTGTACAATAGCTTCATTAATATTAAATCAATAAGATAATTATTAAAAATATCGTTGTTCCTACTTTTTACACATTGTTTATTCAGGGAGAATCAGGAATATCAATTTCTTGATTAAAGCTTCGTTAAACAGTTATTAAAAAATTCTAAATCGGTCCAAAAAAATTATTTTCCGTTGCAGGAGACCATTACAATCATTTTTGGTCATTAGACTTACCCGCGAAATCCTGCGCATTTTTGAAAAAAAAATTCGAGAAGGTGTGAAACTTTTCGACAAAATTAAAAAATTTCAAATCATACTAAAAAAATTATATTTAGTTACAGGGGTCAATTACAAGCATTTTTGGTGAATAGACATATACTCGAATTCCTACTCAGTTTCGAGAAAAAAATTCGAGAAAGTGTGAAATTTTTAGACGAAATTAAAAAATTTCAAATCCTACTAAAAAAATTATAGCTAGTTACAGGGTCAATTACAAGCATTTTTGGTGAATAGACATACCCTCGAAATCCTACCCATTTTCGAGAAAAAAATTCCTAATCGAAAATATAATTTATGTTGCCCGAAAATTCCATGCGAATCTTTAAAATGCCATAACTTCTGAACCGATTGGAGGATTTTAATTTTCAAAAACGCAAACGACGCGTATTTTAGTGGAGAATATGTAGAAATAGCAAAAATATCCGAAAAGTTGTTCCTTGACCCCGTAAAGTGAGAAAAACCCCATTAAAATGCTCCAAATTTTAAAAAGCCATAACTCCTACAATAGTGAATATATTTCAATGAAACTTTTTTCCGAAGTAGAGCCCATGGGCACCTACAAAAAAGTATTAGACAACTTTTCTATAGAATGTCAAATGAAATTATTAAAAATGAAAAACTATTTTTAAGAAAAATCGACAGTGTGTAGGTACCTTAATTTTTCGGCGAAAAAAAAATTTCTCGAATCGTTCTAAAAAAATTATTTTCGGTTGCAGGGGTCAATTACAATAATTTTTGGTGAATAGGTCTACCCCCGAAATCCTACCCACTTTCTAGAAAAAAATTCGAGAAGGTGTGAAACTTTTCAAAAAAATTAAAAATTTTCAAATCAATCTGAAAAAATTATATTTAGTTAAAGGGGTCCATTACAATCATTTTTAGTCATTACACATATCCTCGAATTCCTACTCAGTTTCGAGAAAAAAATTCGAGAATTTGTGAAATTTTTCGACAAAATTGAAAATTTTCAAATCACTTTGGAAAAATTATATTTAGTTACAGGGGTCCATTACGATCATTTTTAGTCATTACACATATCCTCGAATTCCTACTCAGTTTCGAGAAAAAAATTCGAGAACGTATAAAATTTTTCGACGAAATTAAAAATTTTCAAATCATTCTGAAAAAATTATATTTACTTAAAGAAGTTAATTACAATCATTTTTTATCATTAGACATATCCTCGAATTCCTACTCAGTTTCGAGAAAAAAATTCGAGAAGGTATAAAATTTTTCAACAAAATTAAAAATTTTCAAATCACTTTGGAAAAATTATATTTAGTTACAGGGGTCCATTACGATCATTTTTAGTCATTACACATATCCTCGAATTCCTACTCAGTTTCGAGAAAAAAATTCGAGAAGGTATACAATTTTTAGACGAAATTAAAAATTTTCAAATCAATCTGAAAAAATTATAATTAGTTATAGGGGTCAATTACAATCATTTTTGGTCATTATACATACCTTCGAAATCCTACCCAGTTTCGAGAAAAAAATTCGAGAAGGTATGAAACTTTTCGGCAAAATTAAAAAATTTCAAATCCTACTAAAAAAATTATAGTTAGTTACAGGGGTCCATTACAATCATTTTTGGTCATTAGACATACCCGCGAAATCCTGCGCATTTTTGAAAAAAAAATTCAAGTTTATAGCACGTCGTACCTATTCAAAATACAGTACTAAACATATATGTATATATATGTATATATTCGTTCGTGAATATTTCTGTTGATAGTTGTTGTCCTTGTGCAGCTAACTGTCCTAGAGATTAGACGTAGATATCTACATATTACGAGGTATAAATTAAGTTTATCTGCATACACTACACGAAAGTATTCGGACGATTCATTTACAAGTATAAATTGCAAAACATGATATTCGTCTATTATATCATATTCTTCTTTTAAATCTCCATCTACAAGCTTACAGTCGTGAATAATAATTTTAAGGAGTATTTAAAAAACGAAATAAAAACTTATCGAATAAAGTATTGTATAAATATTTTAAATCGTTCGAATGAAGCGCCACCTACAGGTGATTAGAAGAGGCGACATAGGATTCGTGTACTCATAACCATGGTATTTGACATGTCGAGTTCTGTTCCTTTCCTCCGCATAATGTGAATAATCTTTATGACTGTTTTTACTGGATTTGTTTATTTTATTAGCGCTTCAATACGCAGATATTGAACCAACAACCATAATGTTTTCGAGTGACGTAGCACCGTAACGAATTTCTCATCCTACGTGTCAATTGAGGTTAGGACCGAACGGAACGGTCGTGCGATGTGACTGATCGAAGTTATTCGAGCATGCCGAAATTCAGAATGCTTCCGCGTACATCGCGGATCGTAGCACTGTGTTCCGCCGCGAATTTTATTAACGCGGCCGATCGTGTTATAATGCCTATAGCAATTGTCCCGATGACCGACGAATTCAAATGGAATTTGCATTGGCAAGGTTGGATACTCTCCGCTTTTGCCTTTGGTTATTTCACTAGTCAGGTACGATTAACCACTCATACGTTCTCTGATTAATTTACGCTCCTCAGTTTTTGTTATTGTTTTTAACCAATTACACGTTACATCTACCAAAGAACATACATGTTACCTCGTTGCTTCGTGTGGTACCATATGTAACACATTTCTATAACCTTTCTGCTAAATCAGATTATTGGTGCAAGTACAGCAAATAGATTTGGGTGCAAAACAGTGCTAATGTTAGCGGTTTTATTATGGTCTATTAGTACAGTTGTAACTCCAATTCTAGCACAATCAATTCCATTGCTCATCATTTGTAGGGTGATTCTAGGACTCGGAGAAGGTCTAGGTAAATTATTATTCAACGTTCAATTCCGCATCTTTATTCTAGTTGATCTAACACAGTATTTCTTGTAGGTTTGCCAGTTATTTTCCACCTGTTTGCTCATAATGTTCCTGTAGAGGAACGCTCTCGTGCATTTGGGTACCTCGTAGCTGCTGGTTCTGTTGGACAAGTAGTCGCATCTATCGTAAGCCTTATCAATATTTATAATTAAATGTTTATCGATGTGTTACAGTTAATTAATTTCTTTTGAAATGTACAAAATACTTCCAGTTGTGTGCAAATGTATTATGGCAAACAGGTTTTTACTTATTTGGGTCAATTGGTATTCTCTGGACACTTCTGTGGTTAATACTGTATCACGAAACTAATTCTCAGGATGAAATTCCATTATTTGTACCTAAGGTGGTTGTTGTTTTTTTTAAAATTATTAAAAAGTGAACAAAATAAGCCAGAATGACTAATTGACTCTTTTTAATTTTTAAGGTAATGCAAATTAGGAGTTTGCGTTGGACTGAATTCATTTCACACTGGCCTTTATGGGCACTGTACATAGCGCATTTTGCAATGAACTGGAGTAACTATATAATAATGCAATGGTTGCCAACTTACTTAGCAAGAAATCTGTCGGCTAATAAAGAAAGTATTAGTTTGACGGCGCTTCCGTACATTGTAAATTCTCTCGTCGGTATTGGTACGTATTATTTTAATAATATCGAGTAAATAAATTCTATTAAATAATTTATTATTTTTTTGTTGCAGTTGCTGGACACAGTGCTGACAATTTCATACAGAAGAGATGGTCGGTCTTGTCTGTGAGGAGATTGATGACGAACATAGGCCTAGTTGGTCCCGGCGCATTTTTATTAGCATTTTGTGCCGTGGACAATTTACTCGCTGCAGTGATGTTAGCATTGAAATTGTTCTTTCTAGTATTTAAACGTTACGATATATCTCACATTGTCACTTTGTCTGTTGCAGCTTTGTTTCGATATCCATGGGCCTTTGCGCATGCAACTCTGCTGGCCATCTTAGCAATCATGCAGATATAGCACCTAATCACGCGGGCATCACTTTTGCCATTTCTAATACTATCGTAAGATTGAATTCTCCTAACTGTGACCTTAGAAAAACTTAATAAGCTCTCTTTAGTCCTTCTAGGGTTAATAAATGCTATTTTTTAGGCGACTATACCGGGTATTCTGTGTGGACCGCTGACGGCTGAACTGGTGACCGCGTCTCACGGTCGTTGGATGCCAGTTTTCGTGTTGGCAGCAGCAATCAATTTCACGGGGGCCATTATATATCAGAGTCACAGTTCCGCACTTCCAGTATTGTGATATGCTTCGTCGAGAACGAAGCTCGCGAGCGTAAAATTCGGAAAATTTATACGATCAAAAGATGCTGTGAAAATGTACCTTCGAATCCTGTTCATTTATTACATGCAGGACATCAATACGGCACATTTATACATCACACGTCGGTTAATTAAAAACATATCATGATACTGAGTACGTGAGATGCGAGAGATTCTCATAATCTTATCGTTCGGTTCGCAGTCGTAACGTTAGCGCGGATTGCTGTTTATATATAGTGCCATAGCTTTACACACACACACGATGGAATTGGTTAATCATGTTAATTATCGAATGTAAAATACAGCCTAATTAATTATTATTTTTTAAATCTTTTTTAAGGATGAACGGATAGAAGGTGAGATGTTCAGATATGTGTATATAAAGGGTGTCCTTGAAAATTGGCGCCAAACTGTGGCGGCTTATAATACTAATCCAAATAAGCAAATAAGAATCGATGATTATTATTTTGAATTTTTATATGAATTCCTTCAAATGGCTTTGTATTCCGAAAGTAACGATATTTGGATCCATATTTATCATGAATTTTTTTATGTATTTTGATGAGTAATATATGCCTTGAAAGTTTGACATCAACTTTCATCGACATCTTATATGTATAAAAGAAACTGAATTTCTCATTCGTTATTATAGAGAACGAATGTATATTCTGTAAAACATAAGACTGTATATACATATATATATATATAGAGAAATTTAATTGTCACATATTACATTTAAATGTCTTTAAAGCACCGTCACATAGGAAGATATTAATGATTAAAAAAAAAATATGTTTTCTAAAATATGTAAATTATATCTTTAAAAAACTACCCTCGTTATACAAAACTAAAATTTACATTTTCGCTGTATTTAATATTTAAGTTTACATAGGTTTCAGCGACGCGTCTTTTCTTAAATATTCCGATCGAAGCACACGCGATAGTGCATTTCGAGATAGATTAGTGTCCAATGCATGCAATCCCATTTCCAAAAATGGATTTTCCTTTAGAGATGATTCCATTCCCGTTTGAATCGAAGTATCAAAGCATGATGCATTACTATCTCGTGTTAAACGATCATCCTTTTTTGAATATTTAACATTTTCGTTTATGATTTCGTAATTTTTAATTGTTTCCATGCTCTGTAATGGAGAATTGTTTTCGTTATCGTCATTGTCGTTTGCAATGTCGTACATATCGAAAGATTGTATGTTTAATCTTTTCAACATGTCTGCCACATCGTCCGACGATGAAAACAATTCTTTAGGTTTTAAATCCTCATTATTCACGAAATTCTTTTCCGCGTCGCTAATATAGTCCTCCAAATATTGTTCAATATCAGAACTCATCTGTTTCGTCGATTTTAAGGGAGCTTCGTTCAAGTTCCCTTTTTTAAAACTCGATGATAAATTACCACCTGATTTATTCTTGACAGAGAGCAGAGATCTTGTTTCCAATTGTTTTTTAAAACTATTGTTGGAACCGTTCGAAATTTCATCGACAATTTTTTTGCTATTTCCTTTCGGGAAAAGTACGTTCTTAATTTTGTCAACTTTCTCTTCGAACGGAGACTGCGAATCATTCAACGCTTTGGTCGCGACTCGTAGATACTGATTCGATTTAGGATCCAAATACGACTTTTGAATTTTGTCTATTTCCCGCGTCATTTTATCCAACGTGTCGTACAATTGTTTCGATCGAGATCCTGGGACTAAATTTCTGTTCCTTAAAGTTCGCCAATCCGTCTTTGCCTTTTCTAAATCGCGATCGATCTCGCTGATGGGATTTCGTCTTCCTTGAAAATTAAAAATATCATCAATAAACGTGATAAAGAATAATTAGTAAAAATCTCACGTTTTTCAGTACGATCCATCGTCTGTTTTCTTATCATTGGTAAATTGGTGTTTTTATTATAAACAGTTGCATCTTCTTGCTTTTCCAAATTGTTTGGCGCTGAGTCGCAGCGCCATTGCAATTTAGGCAGACCATTGCTAGAATTTTGTTTGATGTTTAGAGACTTATAGGGGGAATCTGGAAACGTGTAACAGTTTAAATGTTTGATAGAATCACGTTCTTTTCGTTTGAGATTTATTTACCTCCTTGACCAATGTTAAACGAGCTTTGTAATCCCGGTTTCACGTTCCTCGTGTCCGATTTGGAGTTTCCGGGTGGATCGAATTCGTACAGGAAACTGTGCGTCGCCGTGACCCTCGTCTGCCTTTTTACTTTCCTGGGCACACTTTCTGTAGACTGTTAGTGTTTCTCGAGGTATTAAAAGCAATTTTAACAGGCTAATAAAAAGTTATTTAAAAGGAAGTCATTTCATAAGCCTTTGCGACTTTTTAAAAACGAAAATCTTACAAAAATCTAACGAACAAGAGGTGCATTCGTGACACAGTTCATGACCCAATTATAATAGTACTTTTAACACTTGAATGGGATGATAATGATTTGTCAATCTGAAATGTGGAAGAACGGAATTGTTTTTGTGAATAATACAAATTTTTTCGTTTGAAATTTAGATATCTACGAATTGTTGACAATTTATAGTAAAATAAAATATTAATATATGATAGTGTTGAGTCGTTCGTAATTACTCGATCAGTGGCGCCACCTGTAAGGTTGAAGATTCGCGTCTTTCATTAATCAAGTCTTTTATCAGGTGTACAAACGAATAATTCAAATTATCTTAAGCAGTTATGTAATAAAGTTTAAAATTAATAGATTTTCCCGCTCTTTTGCGGTCATATAGTGTTGACATGTGTTAAAACAGAAGATAGTTTAGCGAAAGGGCCAACATAACCTTCACAAGTATTCAACACCGGTCCGATATGCACTTCCAAATGGCTTGACGACTTTACCAGGTACAAAAACGTAAAATTTTTCCAAAATAGAATTCATCAGCTGTCTGAAAGATGGCTTAAAGTTATAGAAACTAACAAAATTGGATTATTCATGTGTACACCTAATAAAATAGAAATATCCACGAATCAAACTTTACACGAACTTGCCCTATCCATCGTAATAAAATATTAAAGTTTCTAATAATATTTAGGGTCTATGTAATGGTTTTCTTATAATTTTAACACTTTACCGACCGATAAAACAGTTAATTAATCGGCTATCGGTCGGTAAGCGTTGGCCGGTAAAACAGTTGATTAATAGGCTATCGGTCGGTAAGCGTTGGCCGGTAAAACAGTCGATTAATAGGCTATCGGTCGGTAAAGTGTTAAGATTAAAATGTTTGCTCGATGAAATACGCAATGACTTATGAAACAATATCAGTTTCAATATAACACGTCTAACTTTGTTTAACCTCCATCTTGGTACTCTCCTTTCAACATCCAAATGTAACTCGTTCTTTTCACACTTTGAATGTTGTTTGAACTTGTAACGATTCGCATCCACGATTCGATCGTCGTCAGACGATATTGCAGATTTCGGTGTTTCTTTCTTATTAATTTTAACCAACCGCGGCCTGCGAAGTTCCATAAATCAGTCTTTTCAAAAACTACGCGCATAATTCGTTCTATTTTCAAGCGTACTAACATTATGGATCTCTTTTCACTTTTATTTGCTCGATCAGCATTATGAAAAGAAACGTGAATTAAATTCATCGTAATTATCTTTATCAGTTCGCGTGTCTGACAAAACTGTTCTTACTTGTTATAAATATTCGCTCGAACGTAATCCTCGATTATTTGTTCGGGTTTAACAAAATGCTGAAAAGCGAATACGACTTCTTTTCCTTTCTTCAAGAAAATCGGTCCCTGGCAAACAGGTTTCCTTTTTGTCGAGCTCCAAACAGATTTGCTCCAAATTTTACGATCGCTGAAATACGTTCTTTCATTACGTTTGTTTATCGACATAAATTAATGAAAATCATAAATAAATTTTCTTGTTTTCTTGTCGTTAATACTTCTTGCCAATTTGTAACATCGAGGAAAGATCATTTCAAGTATTCTTCCACATCGAATGTTAATAAAAATTGTCAAGAATTGTAAAACGATCAAGATTTTCAAGATTAGAAGTAATTCGAGACTTCAGCCATTTTGTGGTCTCGAAGTGATTCGAGATTCCACCGCTTGAGGTGTTTGGCGCCCTTTTACGCATGCAAGCGCGCCATTTTGCAGATTCCGTACCTATCACGACGTGACGGCGACGTTATCTCTTTGAATTTATCAATTTTCTGCGAATACTCTTTGCTCTCTGTCCGTTGTTTCGTGGCTTCGACGAAAACCGACAATCCGTTGATACGTTTGATCTCTTCCCGATTATGTACCTTGGACGTTAACGATGCTTCGGGATATAATGGCAGAAATGTCGGTGAACAGTGTAGCTTGTTGCAACTCGGAAAACCTTCGAACGTTCTCGCCAGTTCCGAGAATGATCCTAGAATCCTCGTTCAACTTTCGAAACGAAGTTTTAACCTGCCGTAAAACATGTTTTGATCGAAAATATTGCGCCAGAAACAAAATAAAAGTGATCACGAATTTTCTATCGAGGCCAACGTCCGACGACTAACGAAAGAAAGTGCAAAGTTAGATGTTTCGCGAATGTTTCCTGTGATCGGAACTTGGCCAATCGTGGAGAACATTTGATAGCAGAAACGCGATGGCGACGTTCGAAAATTTGCCTTAACCCTAACAAAATTATGTTCTTCGTACGGAACAGTTCGTAATCTGTTTTTCTTTATTTTGTCACTGGTAGCTTTCGCCATTTTGTAATATTGTCGTGACGATGAATTCCGTGTTGTCAACGTCTCCGTTCGCAAACTTTGAGGATCCGACGCGCAATGGAACTTTACACGCCGAAGCACGTCTCCTTCAACAACTTTCGAAGACAAATGGATGTCTCGCGAGAAACCAGAAGTTTCCGAGAAACGAAGCGTTGCTTCAGAATCTGCAGAATCTTCCTCCGGAAGAGGAGTACGAGATAACTCTTACGGTAACATCGAGCAGCGTATCTCGTCTACAAGGAAAAACTGTGCAATCAGGCACCACCGTCGCTAAAGTGCATTCCAAAACGACATTGAAGAAGAAGGAACCAAAAAACAGTAGGTTTCCACTGATATCCATTTCCCGCCAAAAAGATAGCACTCCTTGAATTTTTTTCTCGAAACTGGGTAGGATTTCCAAGGTATGTCTAATGACCAAAAATGATTGTAATTGACCCCTTTAACTAAATATATTTTTTTCAGAATGATTTGAAAATTTTTAATTTTATCCAAAAATTTCATACTTTCACGAATTTTTTTCTCGAAACTGAGTAGGAATTCGAGAATATGTGTAATGACTAAAAATGATTGTAATAGACCCCTTTAACTAAATATATTTTTTTCAGAATGATTTGAAAATTTTTAATTTTATCCAAAAATTTCATACTTTCACGAATTTTTTTCTCGAAACTGAGCAGGATTTCGAGGATATGTGTAATGACTAAAAATGATTGTAATGGACCCCTTTAACTAAATATATTTTTTTTAGGATGATTTGAAATTTTTTAATTTTGTCTAAAAATTTCGTACCTACTGGAATTTTTTTCTTGAAACTGGATAGGATTTCGAAGGTATGTCTAATGACCAAAAATGATTGAAAATGACCCCTTTAACTAAATATATTTTTTTCAGAATGATTTGAAAATTTTTAATTTTGTCCAAAAATTTCATACTTTCACGAATTTTTTTCTCGAAACTGAGTAGGAATTCGAGAATATGTGTAATGACTAAAAATGATTGTAATGGACCCCTTTAACTAAATATATTTTTTTTAGTATGATTTGAAATTTTTTAATTTTGTCGAAAAATTTCATACCTTCTCAAATTTTTTTCTCGAAACTGGATAAAATTTCGAGGGTATGTCTAATGACTAAAAGTGATTGTAATTCACCCTTGTAACTAAATATATTTTTTTTAGGATGATTTGAAATTTTTTAATTTTGTCGAAAAATTTCACAACTTCTCGAATTTTTTTCTCGAAACCTAGTAGGATTTCGAAGGTATGTCAAATGACCAGAAATGATTGTAATTAACCCCCGTAACCGAAAATAATTTTTCCAAAATGATTTGAAATTTTTTATTTTTGTCGAAAAATCTCAGATTTTCTCGAATTTTTTTCTCGAAAACGCGAAGGATTTCAAGGATGTGTCTATTCACTAAGAATGCTTGTAATTGACCCCTGGAGCTAAATATAATTTTTTTAGTATGATTTGAAAATTTTTAATTTCGTCTAAAAATTTCACACGTTCTCGAATTTTTTAATCGACTAAAATAATTTTTTACACCCATTAAACACTCTAAACTTCTAAAATTAAGGAACTGGTATACTTCCAGGGTGTGCTATCATTTTGTCGCGCACTGTATCAGTGAAATTCGCAATTACATAGTCGCCAAACCAATAAAATGCAATTTAGTCGGTCTCATCGCAAACATTGTTAAACAGGTGCGCATGGCAGTGATTATATCGACTCTCAGAAGCATGCAACATCGTCTCGTGACTTTCCAAGTCGAAAAAACGAAGTTTCCAAAGAAAACTACGACCGCAAAACGGTGGCTCCCAATTCCTTGGATTTCAAGGTCCTCGAAAGGAACTCTCGTTCTTCCAAGAAGCAGGAAACCCAATTGTCTTCAAACAACACACGAAATGCAGAAGACAGAACCATTGGAACTGCTCTCTTCAGTTGTCCGTTCGAGTTAATAGAGATCTATCCCGGAAACAAGGATCAATCTTCAAGTTTCAATAGACGATCCTCCGAAGTGAGTCGAGAAGGAAGCTCGATGAGATCCTTCCCGAAGGAGGACGACGAAACCTCGAAATCCTCGGTCTTGGAGGAAGATATTTATCTCTTCTCCAAGGCGAGATCGAAGAAAACAGAAGAAGTATGCCAAATCGACGAGAATAAAGTAAAATGTACGCGGAGAAACGAGAAAGATTGCGTGGAAAGCTTTTACGAGTCTACTTCCGGTGTCTTGCAAAATGGAGACTCCTCAGGCCAACCGACTCGGGATCGAGGGAAGATCGATCGAAGTTCCAAGCAATTGGAGACCAACAAGAATGTAAATTCTGTAAGATCAGGTTTGAAGAGAAAGGAGGAAGAAAAAATGGCGAACGACGTTTCGAAGAAGACACTGGAGGATCCAAGGACGATCGAGGATGAAAACCAAAGCGTCGTTTCGAGTTCCTCGCGCGAATCAAACGTGTTTAATAGCGACACTCATTATGAGAACTCTGTAAGTTCGAGCGGAAGCGGGATTTCGAAATTGATGATCGACTCTGATCGATCCAGCACTTACGAGCGTTCAGAAAGCGATGTATCATCGATGGAGAATACAGTAATCGATCTGAGAGAAAAGAAATCTAATTCTGAGAGAAAGAACGTAAATACGGACGAAAATAATACGAAGATAATTATCGATAAACGAGAAATTGAGAAAAATGGTATCGTTGATTCGAATAAAATTGGTTCGTGCAACGAGGATAGTCGAATATCGGAAATAACGAAGGATCGAGGCTTTGAAAAGGGATCAAGATTCGCGATGAAAGATTCTGGGGATAGAAATCGACTGAATGTTAACGGCGATGTAAAAATATGTAAACTTTTGATGGAAATACACGAGCATCTGTCCAGCGATTGGCAGAGAATGGAGTGCATCAGGGCGAAGCAAGATGGCGGCGTTTCAGTCGACTCTCTTTGCTCGAAAATGACGCTACAACTTCTAAATAGCACCATCGAGAGGTACAAGAAAGTAATTCATTCTTTTGTGTGCAATTTACGACCTTTTCTTTTGGAAAGTTTGGTTTAAAATGCACTATGGGTCACAAATATTGTTGCAAGGTAAAAAAGCAGTTTTCAACAGGTGCAAGAGTTACATTTACGGTTCAAGCAATAGCCACAAAGCTGAATTAAAGATTACCAAACTGTTTTCGAAACACGTTATTCAGCTAGTGAATGCAGTGAACCAGAATAAATTAATAATCGAAGAACACGGTGGGGATACTTTATTTTTACAAAGATAGTCATATTCTGTAGATTATTAATTTGTTCTAATTACAGAACGCCAGTTAAATAGCATGCAGTCTAAAGAAATTGTCAGAGAACAGGGTGGAAATAAAAAAGTAAGGTTTAGAACGCGACAAGGAATTTAACACTTTACCGACCGATAAAACAGTCGATTAATAGGCTATCGGTCGGTAAACGTCGACCGATAAAACAGTTGATTAATCGGTCGGTAAGCGTTGGCCGGTAAAACAGTCGATTAATAGGCTATCGGTCGGTAAAGTGTTAATATCGTTTAATATAGAATTTAGTATCATTTTTTAATATAATTTGGACGCAAATAATCGCGATTGATTAATTTCTGATGGATTCAGAGGGGAATTTTGAACGAAGATTCGTTTTGGGATCGCTGGACATGTGAAATAAGTTGCGCGATCGGATCCATCTTCAAACTGATCAAATGTGTGATGACTATGAACGAAGAAAAGGAGAATGTTCAAAATCAGCAACAATGTAAATTGAGAAATTGTCGTGGAACGAATGCATCGTCAGCTAACGATAAAAAGTAATTTTTAGAATAAATTTTTTGCTCGTGCAGGGACTAGAATAGATTGTTTAAACAAAGAATGCATATTTGTTGTTGATCAGTGTAATTTGTCATTTATAACGTTGTAATCAGTTTTGTAATCAGTAGACTGCGGATCTTTATGCAAATTCACATTTTTATTAATAGAATTAATGAAACTAATGAATTAATGAAATTAATTAAATAATTCGTATCTTACTTTAAGTATTTCTTATATTTTTGCATATTAAATGCATTCTGTAGTGTTTTGAGGATTAAAATTCCCCATAAATGCATATCCGCAGTCTAGTATTCAGAAATTATATTTTGTAGACACATTGTACAAATATTTAAAAACTACTCCATCAAATGCTTCCATATAAATTTTTCTGGTGCAAATACTAAAAACAAAATTTCAGACAGAAGTGTGGAGTCGTTCGATCCAAAATGGCGGATCTAAATCCTACAAAGAAGAAGAGTTCTATTGAAACACAGATGACTGTCGCTTTCAATTCGAATAATCCGTTGAAGCAATCGAAATCCAAAGCATCCGTGAGACTCGTATCCCCCAGGAATCTTGAGAAAGAGAAATTCATGGAGGCTACGCAAAACAGAGTTGAGAAGAAAGTGAGCGACAATGGCCGCCACACTGAGAAGAAAAGAGTCGCGAAGAAGACGACATTGAGCGCGAATTTCAGTCAATCGAAGCAGATGGCGCCACGACAAAAGCATCGAGTTTCTGGTAATCCACAACCGGTTTGGAGACCTGGTGGATCGGTGAAACTTCCGTCTTCGAGCAGCGCTACAACGTTGACGCAAAAATATCGCCCATTCGCCAAGGAAAAAGGCAATCAACCGGTGGAAAACACGAAGTGAGCCTAATATTGAATAGAAAATTCTAAAGAATTGGGGAATAAACATCTCGACCTCTCTTGTCAGAGTTATTGATATCAGGGATCCCATTTTCATCTGCTTAACACTTTGTCAAATGACCAAGGTCAAGGATCATGTAATCTATTTTTCGAATTTTCCTTTCAGAGAGGCGAAACAGAGTAGAGCTATAAGCGAGTTTAAGAAAAAGGTTTCCCAGGAAACGTATTCCAAGGACGTGTTTCCTACGCTGGAAACTGACGCCTGCAAGATCTCAAGAAAAAGAAGCAACGCGAGCTTGAGGGCTAGTCCACGTCTCAAGCCAAGACCAGGAACTTTGGGAGTTGCAACGCAAGGCTACAGTGAACCTCTGCGGAATTCTGAGTCTGTTTGCTCGAAGAACTCTGAGAAGACATCATCTTGGGAGAAGATAGCTAGACAGAAGACTCAGAAGGAATCTAGGGTTCTTAGAGTATTGGAAGAAATTATAAAATCCACACCGATAGAGAAAAGGGGGAGCAAGAAGATTAAAAACGTAGTTGACTGTTATCGTGTTCAGGTTGAAACGAATTCTCCTCAACTGGAGCAAACGATCAAAGAAGAAACGAAGATTCAGGAAGAAGAACCCACGAGGGACGTAGACTCGAGTCGACCTGAAAATCATCGATCAATGGGGAAGCTTCTAGAGCAACCATTAACATATGATGTTACTCCGTTGTTTACTAATGTTAAAGAAAACACCACAGATGAGGAAGTGAGCGTAAAGATTGAAAATTCTCAACAGAATGCAGATTCGAGCTTCGTCTCTGTGGTCAGTGCAAGCTGCATGGCGGATTTCAGCTCGAGCTCCGATTGCGTAGCCAAAATCGAGTCCTCCAAGTGCTGTCAGACATCCTTGAACTCTGGCTCTTCCTCGTGTACCTCGAATCCGGAACAGAGGGACGAAAGGTCCAGAAAACGTAGCAATCTACGCGTGTCTTTTGTTAATTGCATCGAGGATCGACAACGATGCAATGGAGAAAGCTGTAGGAACTCGATAGTGGTCAGAGAAGAGAAGAATTTATCAGTCGTAGGAGAAGAAATGTCTGAAAATTCAACACTCTTTAAAGAAAAGAAGGATTCATCAATTGTAAAAGTAGAAAATTTAAAAGATTCAATCCGGGAAGAAATATGTAATCCACTTGTTAATGAAGAAATATTGAAGAGTCTATCAACTTCCAAAGAAGAAAAGTCCAGCAATCCATCAATAGTAAAACTAGAAAATATAAAAGATCCAATCTGTAAAGAAGTATGTAAGAATCCACCTGTTGGTGAAGAAATGTTGAAGAGTCTACCAACTTCCAAAGAAGAAAAGTCTGAAGATGTATTAGTTACAAGAAAAGAGAAGTCTAGCAATCCATCAATTGTAAAAGTAGAAAATTTAAAAAATGCAACAATTAGAGAAGAGAAACCCAGAAACCCATTATCTCTAAAAGTAGAGAAGTCAATAACGAATCCTCACACGACGTCATTGACAATGTTGAAAGAGTTTCTTTACAACCAAGGTGTCGATATCGACCTGGTGAACAAAGCTGAACAATGTTTGAAAGATAAACAGAGAATACGCAGACGTTTGAAGCAGATATCTGCTAGCTCTGTCGACGTTTCATCCAGCGTTCATGGTAGCAAAGGCAAATTGAGAAGAGTGGTGGAAAGCAACGAAGACGATGTTAATCATGCAGACAAATTAAGACACGTTGCAACTAGTACAGAGAAGAATAGCAAAGATGCTTTCTCACATACTGGTTTCCAGTGCACAACGAAAAGCTTGCAAACTATACCTGAGGAGAACACTTTTGCATCGACCAAACGACAGAATATAGGAACACAGACGGAAATCGCTACGGTGAAACACGTGGCTAGCGAGTGTCGCGAGAAGATGACCCAAAAAACAGAAAACTTGATGAAAAACACCAGAAACGTCTCTACGATGACTGACTCGTTTCCAATCAGCGATAATTTCACGGAAACTGTACGCGTTTCCTGTGTTTCGAAATCGGTAGCCACCGAACGCGTCGATTTTTCTACGAGCTCAGAGAAATGTAATGATTCGTTAGAAAAATCGACTCGTAAGGATGATCGAGGTTCGCTGAACAAGTGTCGTCACGAGTTGTGTCAGTTGTTGAGTCAGACGCAGCGTGACGAACAAAATGAGTCGTCATCCAGCTCTTTGGATCTGTCTTTCGAGTACTTGGAAGAAATCGAATCGAACAAGCTCGCTGAAGTTATTTCCAGCGAAACAATGGCGGCTCTTCGGGTCGCTGAGATCCAAGCACGCAACGTGTACAGAGCAATTGATATATATAAACGTCATTTGAAGGTCAGGTCGAACGAACTTGAAGATCAGACGGAAGAGACGACTAATAAAGACTTCGAAAGTTGCAAAGAAATATTGGAATGCTTGTACAAGAGCAACGATTTTGATATTGTCGTAACGAGAAGCTACGATCGTTTGGGCAGTGACGAAGATCGCGAGGCATCCGAAGCGTCCATCGATCGTGAGAATAAATCCGAGCGCGTAATTTCTAAATTTGTTTCGACGTCGAACGTTCCATTTGACGAAGATATATTTGGCGAGATCGATTCAGAAATTCCCAGGAAGTCGTCCAGTAGCGTTGTATTAAAGGACACGAGATCTTTAGTAGAATTCTTGGTCCACGAAACGGAAAACGCGACGATCGAGCAGATACGTTGCACCCAGAAAATCTCTAACAGTAAAAACCTGAGGTTTCGCAAGAAAATCTCGAAAACTAACAATGGAAAACTGCGTAATCGGTTTTTACTGTTCTCGAGGGAAAACGTGTTGCCTCTTGTCTATGGTGTCGTGTGCTCCATTGTGTTTTGGTGCTTGCAATTCACGATCACCTGCGACATCGTCGCGTGATCCCTTCCGCCATCTTGTATCCCGTTTGTATCACGTTTGTGTTTGTAAATGTTCCGTTGCATTTGTATGTTGTGTCTGTGGTTCTTTTAAGCGATTAAAAACGACGCTTTTTGCATTCAGTAGGGTCGTTTTTAACACTTTACCGACCGGTAGCGGTCGGTAAGCGTTGGTCGGTAAAGAAGTTGATTAATACGCTATCGGTCGGTAAGTGTTGGCCGGTAAAACAGTCGATTAATAGGCTATCGGTCGGTAATGTGTTAATTAAGTCTTAATAAAAGGTTATTTTTAATATGTAGCTAAATCATAATTAACGTGGTCAAAATTACTACTTTTAGTACATCTTATCTTCTGAAATTATCTACTTCCTTTATCAAAGTATATCAAAATTTAATTCCATAAAATAGTCTCTTCTTTTTACTGTTTTTGGGTCATTGGTCATTATTTAACTCCTCACAAAGTTTAGGTAAACTAAAAATGTTACTAAAATACTCCAGACATAGTTTATTGAAACATTTCATATCATTATAACATTGGATTTGGATCCTTCGCGTACAAACTTCCTCGTATAAAAACATTTAGAAAATCTTGAAGAACAAGAAGAGATTCCACGCTTAAGTCTTGCAAAGGCCATACACATATATATTAATAATCTATAAAAAGTTATCAAATACAATAATAAAAATTAAAGATGACCGACATAATAATAACAATGATGGGGGCTCCTAACATTCTTCACGGACCATTCTCATTCATTTCGCGTGCTAATGTACAAGAGCTCCCAGTTATTTTTAGGTGCAATTCTCTTCGCTTACATAAACTCCGTTCCGAGATGTGATCTCAGCCTTCGTCCAAACACGCATAACGTTCGTAATCCTTATATCTATGCATTCAGACGACTCACAGAAAGATGTTTTTAACCCGGTATTCGTCATCGATCGTAAACGGAATAACTTCCGTAACTGTGAATGGCGGTGACTCGCATTCAATGTCATGAATCATGAATATCACTCATCATGAAGTTCACTCGTCCTCGTCGAGGACGTCGATGGTAGCCGATCCTGTGATGTCTACCAGCTGCTTCGAGGTGAAGGTAGCGATGATCTTCTGTTGTCCAGACTTCTGTGGGACCAGTTGATGCTCCACGTAGACCTCCTCTTCAGGATCAACGTCCCTGAACACCAAGGTTTTGTTCCTGGATAGTCCTGGACCGGCGTAGTTGAACTTACACTCTGTCAGTATCCTCTTCAAGGGATTCTTGAAACTGAGACTGATCGTTGATGGCTTCCCTACCGTAGGATCGCCTTCGATCTAGAGAAATATTTGATCAATTTAATTAATTGTATCTTTAATGTTGTCAGGTCGCTTTAGCTTCAATCGATGATGCTACCTTGACCACGATGCTCGGTTTCAAGACCTGGAAGTCGTCCTCGTCGGCCCAAGTTTGCCTGGTTTCCTTGACCGTGGCAATGCAGTACAGTTTCATGATGCAATACTCCACCAGCTTGTCCAAATAGTCGTCTACAGTGACCGTGAGCCTCAACTGCTCGCCTGAAAGAAGCCAAACGTGACAGACATACTAACGTTCATAAATCACGGCGAATAAGAAGCTTGTAATAGAAATTTACTGGCGTTTGGTTGAAGAACAAAGTTGCCTGATGCTCTCTTCACTAGATTAGCTTTGACTCCTGTGTAGTAGACGCTACCAGCCGATAGTATGGCTTGAATGGTTCGTGGCTTGTCTGATTTGTTCTTTATGTGCACTATCATAGCGAATGGCTGACCAATGTTCACGCGTTCAAGGTCCACGAGGTCGAACTCGACATCCTCTTTTCCTGGCGCAGGCAGAGAGTAGAACCTTTTTGCTACTTCGGTGCTGCGTACTGCTCTGTACAGCGTCAAACGCTCAGCTTCGGTTCCTGAGTGTAAAATCAATGATATTGTTAATAATAAGACAATTTTATTCAGAGTGAATTGCATAACATTGATAGAATGAAGTACTTAACACTTTACCGACCGGTAGCGGTTGATTAATCGGCTATCGGTCGGTAAACGTTGGCCGGTAAAACAGTCGATTAATAGGCTATCGGTCGGTAAAGTGTTAAAAGAGAAGAACCGTTTCAGAAACAAATTCTGCATATGTAAACAAACAAAAAAAGAGTTTGTTTACACATGTGTTTCATCTGACTTTGTTATTGTATTATTCCCCAGCTTTATGTTAGAACAATTCTTCTGAAAAAAGTAGTTGATGTATTGAGATAATTATTTATAAGTAAAATTCAATATTTAATGTTGAACCTAAGTTGGACCATGAGCCATTATAGTGCTAGGTGTTATTTTTACCTTCTTTTGCCTTGTACAATGGCGTTATGTCTTCTCTGTCGCGGTCGCCATTAGGATCGAAGATCCAAGGCGCTTTCGTCAGGATCATTCGACCAATGCTGTTGGCAGAAACGATTGTTTAAATTTTCTTCGAAGGAAATAAATGTTAGTTAAGAAAATGATCCGTAAATCATGAGGCGCCAGTCGTGCAATTATGCAATTTTGACCTTCGAACACGCCTCGAGTTTGCATAAACATTTCGTCGTTGCGTCTGCCAAGATTATGTCGATTTATAATACACGGTGTGCCTCGCGATAGTGTCAAGGCCACGGTTGCAGATGCAACGACGAATTTAGAATGAGCCGATGAATCATGAAGAAATGAAAACACAGGCGGTAGACTGTATTTATTTTGCGATTAACCATCTTCACGATCGCTGTAATTACTTTGTGCAATGATGCAGAAATGCATTTTATTTTTCTTGCAATAGGTATTTACAGGATGGTTTAAAAAATATTGTATATATCTTGTAAAATTACGTTTCAAAAAAGAAAAAAAAATGTAGAATAATCTGCCTTATTTTTAATTGTCAATCTTCAACAGTGACGTGAGATTCGACTGTTTATTTAAAATAAGATAAGATAGAGGAGCCACTTCTTTTAAAATTCTTTTGAATCCTCATCAGTACTCACTGGTACTTGTTACAGTCGATTTTCGAGTAACCAAGATCGCTTTCCGGGTCCTCCTTCCATCTCATAAAGTCAGCGTTCACGGAGGCCACCATGAACGTTACGTCATAGTTGTAGCCAACTGCGCCTTGCCTGATGGCTTCCACGGAAGCTGGTCCACATTGGTAAAAGCCCTCGGAGGGCTCTTGGGGCGTCGAGTCGATCGCCTGCCAGCCACCATAACCTTTGGGTAAGTCTGGTCGAGCCATCCAAACGTCGTTCCAAACGTGATAATTCCATATGGAATCCTCGCCATCGAGATTGTTGGGATCGTAATCTAACTCCTCGTTGTCTATGTCGTAGTAACGATCGACGGAGAGAGAAGCATTTGCATCGTGGGCGGATACTAAATTAGAAACCACCCTGGATGGTATACCAAGAGCACGACACACGGTGGTCACCGTGCCAGCAAACACCCAGCATTGTCCATATTTCACCGATTCGGTGCTTTCCAAAAATTGCTCCAGAATTGGAACGCTTCCGGTCCAAGCAGCTGGCGCAGTGCCATCGTCGTATTCGCCGTCCCAGCGGCCTGTTATCACTCCCTTGTCATCGTTGGAGTTTATCTGAACAGAATCATTAACACATTACCGACCGATAGCCTATTAATCGACTGTTTTACCGGCCAACACTTACCGACCGATAAAACAGTTGATTAATCGGTCGGTAAGCGTTGGCCGGTAAAACAGTCGATTAATAGGCTACCGGTCGGTAAAGTGTTAATTAATTAATTTCTGGGTGAACAAAGAAACAGAACAAAGAATCTGGTAATAACTCTTTACGGCTGTCCGAAAATCAGTAAACTTCCAAGCGCTATATCTTGAAAACTAATGAAAATCGGGTAAATAAATTGCAGGTTAATGAATTCGTATTGAAAAACATTATCGGATGATCCAAAAAAAAATATATAGTTCCATTTAAAAAACGAAACTTCATAATCGTATCTTTGAAATTAATAACATAAATGAAATTTCCGTTTACGCCGGAATGAAGATCCTATTTTATCCTGCAATTTTCATATAAACAATTTTTCCGTATCGTCGATAGTTATTGCAGTATCGCGACTCTCACACTTTAGCTGGGACACCCTGTATGGCGACACTTCCCACAGTCACCGCCAGAGGGCTACGTGCTCTCACAAGTAATCGACCGGTCACCTATTCTTATATAGACTCCTCGATTGATTAGAGAACATAACAGGAATAGACTTACGATTCTTGAGATAGCCCTGCACATTTTCACGGGGTCCCCTCTGGAAACAGCCTTAATACCGGATCTTTCCAGCAGCAATTGACAAGCTGGAAGCACGCAGGCGTCGAATTGACCGAATACCCATTCTCTGCCTCGAGAACTTCCCCATGGGCCCACCCACACCTTCCCCACGTCGTTCAGAACGTACTCGTCCAGGAGTTGTTCGTCCTCCATGTACACGAGATCCTCTAACAACCGAAACAAACAATACAGACTCCATAAAATAAAAGAGGATTGATATAGTTCCTCAGTTAAATCATTATGGTATGTCTTTACATCTATTATACGTATTTTAATTCACATTCGGTTGAGTAAGAAGGATAGAGAAGAGAAATCCGAGCTTTTAAACGTTTACACGTGGTGTTCTCCTGTGGCTAATAGATTCTGACTTTAATAAATTGTGGAACGCAAGGAAATAGAAGCGTGAGTAATTAACCTATCTTCATTTTCGTTAAGATATAAAACTAATGTTCGATTTCCATTAATGAACATTGTATTTGGTCCAACCTTTCATCCAGGGATTGAAGAGCAAGTAGATGTTCTTGTCGTAGTTGTACGTGTTCGGAGCTTTCCTTCTTCCCAAGGTGGTGGTCTCCACGTTCAGTTGCCACATGCCGATGGGACTGTCGATGGGACTTCTGACTTCCACGGACAAATCCATGCCGCTGACGCCGATCATGCGTACACCCCATGCCTCCAGATCGGTTAAGTAAGTGTCCCTGTTGGTGATGGTGTTAACGCCTCTGGTTCCTTTCAGAACGTTTGGATTGGGACCGAAGCTGAACAGCAGCCTGACGATGTCCGTCTCATCTACGTATTCACGATTGAATCTCAAGGCCACGTTGAAGGGCTGACCTCTTCTTAACACAGTCGTCGGTGGATCCAGGTGCACCAGCTCGTAATTGATCGTGTGATGAGCGGTTGCGTTCTCTTTCTCGTAGAGGTACACAGAGTCGACGACCAGTGGTTCTTCAGACGCCATTTTGTCGGTGCTGTTTCAACATAATTCAGATTACATTGTTACGAGCATCTGATGGTTAGAGTCTAGTCACTTATAATTGTACAAATTCTAAGTTAGGTCTTCTAGAGTAGACTATCTTTTACATGTAAAATTTTTACCAATGAGGATAATAATTAAAACGGTTTCTTATTTATTATTAACCTTTTAGATGAACAGGATTCAATGAAATGTTAGTAACATTGATATAGAAAAATAAACGATACTGAAAATAAAATGAAATAAATTGAGACATATTGAAGATTTATGGGCAACTTTCATTCACGACACAGCGTGCAAGCGATGTGTAAATGAGTGGGAGCTAGTTTTTGCTAGTAAATTCTTCGAAATTTTACGCATCGATCATCGGAATGGGACGAGGAACTGGCGAAAGAAAAAGTAGTATTCCGCTACACGGTAACGCGAGTTTTTTTCTTCGAAGACTCGACGCATTCGCCGAACTTGTTGCCATAAACGTGCACCGACAAATAGGTACGCAAGAATCCTCGCCTTGTATAGGAATTTACATTCGAATCGTCTGTTCTATAAGAGTGTTCTAATCGAATTCTAATCGATTTAGTTATTCGTGAACTATGGGACAATTCACGGAATTATTTAAATTTATTTATAAATAATTTTCATTTGTTTTAAATATTAAAATTATTATTTATTATTCTATTTTTTAGGATGAAAGATCGACGATGAGTTAAACCATTTATGTTAGTTTATTTATTGACCCACGCTAAATACCATGGTAAATAGATAACAAATAGCCGAATTTGTAATTATTAATTGTGAAACGTTTCATAAATGTGGAAACTTCGTTTTGAATTGTTTAAATGATTCGTTTATTTAGTGATTATCGACGTGTAATGATTAATAGTCTCTATCAGCGCGTTTCGAAATCGAAGTCTCGAAGTTTCCCGGAACATTTTGTAACTGCTATCTCGAGGATGCAACATGGCGGACCCAGGTTGCACCCAAATACCAGGCGCGTTTTCGATCGCTGGGAATTTACCTTTGACTCATCGAGTCATTGCGTAAATATCCGGGATACATATCCCGGAACGTGACACGACTTGCAACAACCTATTTTCACCCCTGTAATGGAATCCATCCGACATCGACGAATCTCCACAATGATTCATCGATCTCCGATGAAATCTCTTCCGAAAATCGTTATTCAAGTCCGATACTACTGCATGATGTTTCCTCTTACGTTTGACAATTGCAAACCAAAAATTCAACAGAAATTTAATCAGAGAAATTTAAAACTTGATATGGACTTTGATAAATGTGTTGTATTATTCGGTAACTGAAGAATATTTTTATGCAATAACAGCCTTTTCTCAGTTAATAGAAATTCTATAAATACCATAACATTTATACTACTGCATGATGTTTGCTGGAACGTTTGACAATTGCAAACACAACAAAATTCAACAGAAATTTAATCAGAGAAATTTAAAACTTGATATGGACTTTGATAAATGTGTTGTACTATTCGGTAACTGAAGAATATTTTCATGCAATAACAGCCTTTTCTCAGTTAATAGAAATTCTATAAATACCATAACATTTATACTACTGCATGATGTTTGCTGGAACGTTTGACAATTGCAAACACAACAAAATTCAACAGAAATTTAATCAGAGAAATTTAAAACTTGATATGGACTTTGATAAATGTGTTGTACAATTCAATAACTGAAGAATATTTTTATGCAATAACAGCCTTTTCTCAGTTAATAGAAATTCTATAAATACCATAACATTTATACTACTGCATGATGTTTGCTGGAACGTTTGACAATTGCAAACACAACAAAATTCAACAGAAATTTAATCAGAGAAATTTAAAACTTGATATGGACTTTGATAAATGTGTTGTATTATTCGGTAACTGAAGAATATTTTCATGCAATAACAGCCTTTTCTCAGTTAATAGAAATTCTATAAATACCATAACATTTATACTACTGCATGATGTTTGCTGGAACGTTTGACAATTGCAAACACAACAAAATTCAACAGAAATTTAATCAGAGAAATTTAAAAATTGATATGGACTTTGATAAATGTGTTGTACAATTCAATAACTGAAGAATATTTTTATGCAATAACAGCCTTTTCTCAGTTAATAGAAATTCTATAAATACCATAACATTTATACTACTGCATGATGTTTGCTGGAACGTTTGACAATTGCAAACACAACAAAATTCAACAGAAATTTAATCAGAGAAATTTAAAACTTGATATGGACTTTGATAAATGTGTTGTACTATTCGGTAACTGAAGAATATTTTCATGCAATAACAGCCTTTTCTCAGTTAATAGAAATTCTATAAATACCATAACATTTATACTACTGCATGATGTTTGCTGGAACGTTTGACAATTGCAAACCAAAAATTCAACAGAAATTTAATCAGAGAAATTTAAAAATTGATATGGACTTTGATAAATTTTGTACAATTCAGTAACTGAAGAATATTTTTATGCAATAACAGCCTTTTCTCAGTTAATAGAAATTCTATAAATACATGAACAATATAATTGCACAGCTTCCTTGACAAAATGACAATTTGAAGGTAGTTTGAAAATGATTGAAATTAATTCTCGTTCCTCGTTCATTAAGTATCTCGTGAAGAGTTTTATGGTAATGTCCTTCCAAAGGAACCTGTATCTCGATAAGAGTGAAACCGGTCGAGAATCTGTTTTGAATGAATTGCGTAACTGTTAGCATAATTGAACAGGGTTTTTCTTGTCTCCATAATTGTACCTATCGGTTTGATTAATATGTACTTCCTAGTGAGAATGTCTCATTGAAGGAACGAGTAAAACAAACGATGTTAATGCATAAAATTAATGATTCTACTTTTAATTTGATTATGCTATTTGATTATGATTCTTTCGTTCTGAACTGTCTGTAAAATATATAATATGGAGAAGAAGCATTTAACTCTCGACTGATGAGGTTTGGTAAAAGGAAACGTTTCACAGTTATTACTAATATTCGGTACAAGAATAGACAGCATGATCTCACTCTGATATGGTAATTTTAAGTTCCAAATTAAGTGGAATGCACACTCTGTCTGCTCGAATATAGGTAGTGTAATTTGCTATACAATTATGAACTATACAATCAGTGTGAAACAAAGCTAGTAAAGAATAAATTTAATTTATTATCTTTGTTTAATTGTTACAATAAATCAAATACTTTAAAAGAGTCGTTTGAAAATGAACGTATCACTTTGATATTATTGTATCAATTGTTGAGGGAATATTTTAGTCCACTACTTTTGATTTTTGGCATTTTCTTCTAATTTGATTTTTATTATATAGATATGAAGAATATTATGATCGATTGGAGACGAGGACAGTGAGATATTTCACACTTTGTTGAAGCAAAAGAATGTGGAGAGTATACCGTAGAAAAGTCCAAGGTACCAAAATGCAAATAATCCATAAAACAGTCAGAAAAATTGAAATATCTCTCGGGAGAATTTGCTCGAAAAATACCTGAGCACAGGTATGCAAATTAGTGAATATTTAACAAAAGATTTTGTATTATTTTTATGAATTAACAGGAAAACAAAACGTAAGAAAAGTACACCCTTACTGACACGTGTAATGAACATAGTAATGCCACAGAAATAATAAAAAACAAATTATATAGAGTTTATCACACGTTAAGAGGCTGATTGAAAATGAAAGATTTTTACTTCGATTGGATCGATGACGAAGCCGGAACGATTAAGAATGAACTTACACTTTCGTCGCTATACTGACATCCTCAGAGTATTACTGGCTTTTTATACGAGCCTCAGCTTCCTTCGAGCTGACCGCAAAATCCCCACCCGCTATAGTGATCGACAACGCGTTAGGTCTTTAATATCTCCACGCAACTCTTTTAATTGTACCAAAATATTAAAGAAACAGTTTTTAAATCTTGTCAACGCAAATAGATCATTAACACATTGATCTACATTTGATCTACAATTCCTAAACTGCAATGAAATTAATAAGTTTTTAAATCTTGTCATCGCAAATAGATCATTAACACAATTTGATCTACAATTCCTAAACTGCAATAAAATTAATAAGTTTTTAAAATCTTGTTAGTGGAAATAGATCATTAACACAATTTGATTTACATTTGATCTACAATTCCTAAACCTTCAATGGAGTTAATAAATGTTTTAAATTCAAAATAGATAAACGCAATTCGATTTAATAAAACTTAATTTTATTACTATTATTTATACTTGTACTCTCATTGTTGATTATATTGTTTATTGTTTGAGACTCTGGCAGCTATTAGTACCTTCATCTTGAGCTATCAGACTCCATTTTGATAACATTTTCTTTGTACTTGAGTATTTATGAATTTTTAAGACCTACTTCTTTTCTGATCCAATTTGTTATTGTATAACTATTAATACCTGTGCATATATTACGCATAAAACAATTAGGAGAGATTTAGAGTACGCATTGACTGAATCGAGGCGTGAAGGAAATATTTAAGAATTATCTTATCGACTTAACACGCATTGCTAATTAGCTAGATGCATCGTAGCTGGATGTTGCGGTTTTCCACAGAATTGATATCGTATTGTAACGAAGGTTACGAGTACATATGAGAGTATAATAATAAACCATAACTGCAAATGTTTCGAGTCGATAGAATTCAACAATTGCAAGAAGGAAAAGTTTCTTAATTAAGAGGTTATGGAAACGAAAGTAACAAAACATGGTATTCATAACTTTAACCCTCAAATTAACTTCGTCCCTCTTTTTAAACGAAATAATTACTTGGTACAACTGAACTAGAAGATCGAAGGAACATTGCTTCCTCTTATATCTTTCTAGGTTAGTGATCTAGCTCGTAAGAATGTAAAGGGAAGATCGATGGATCTTTGATTCCATCTAACACCCGAGCTAATGGCTGCGAATATAGAATTGTTTCTTGGTACAATAAACGAATTTAGATTTATTGTTTGGCTAGTGTTTGGTTAGGTATTAATGGTAGGCAGGTTATTTTTGTTTGAAGACAAGTTCTTTCAACTCTCTTCGTTGATTGTGCATCTTTTATTGGTTGCATTTTCGTTTGTTTCTTCTTCGACCAACGATCGTTGATCACAGAAGATCTTTATTAACGGAGGGTGGTTAGGAATTAATTAGGATGGGTCTCCATTCGCAGCAACCTCCTCGTGGTGAGACCTGGGTAATGTTATTTAGCGTTTAATTAATAATCGTGTCACTCTCAGCTGGGTAATGCAATTATTAATTAAAAACTAAATAATGTTAGCAAATTGGCTGCGATCCGCGATGCATAGGTCATCATAAATACAGAGCTTCTTTGCTAGGCTAGTTTTGATTCTCATTGAGTCATCAAAGATTCTAAAGTATTGTCACAGACGAGATATACAATTAGATCTTTCATCCAATGGATTTTTCTGACCAATTTATCATTCTCATATTTGCCTTCTAGTTCTTAAACAAATGAAATCCGATCCACGTCTTAGCATACTATTTGGAATCTCGACTGCCCAGACATTTTTACTTTTCGATCTATGTTGGCTCACATAAGTGTACCATAAATGATACACGTTCTAAGACCCCTTGATCATACTTTAATTCTTTATAATTCCTATCTATGAGCGTGCATATGTATACCATTAATACGATTGCCCAGAAATACTTTAAGATTGAAAATTAATAAATTAAAATGAGAGTCCACCCTTCGCCCAGTATATAAGAGGTGTTCTTATTTTTATAATATGAACTTAGGCATCAATTGCTGTAGGAAATAATTAATAATGATTTATCTCGATATGATTTCAGGTAACTAAGCTTCTGCTGGTCTCTACATGTCTCTGCTGGTCTCTGCTGGCCGCCACTGGCATCTGCTGACCTCTGCTGACCATTACTCATACTTCTGACAACGTATAACGATTGCAACTTGATACTGCTTGCCCCTGCTGGTCTCTGCATGCCTCTCCATCTCTCTGCATGCCTCTGCATCCCTCTGCTGTCCCCTACTGATCCCTACTGACCACTGCTAACTTCCCCTGATACTTCTAACAACGTACAACGATCACAACTTGCTACTGCTTGCCCCTACAGGTCTCTGCATGCCTCTGCATCCCTCTGCTGTCCCCTGCTGGTCTCTGCTGGTCTCTGCTTGCCACTGCTGACCATTGTTGACCACCCCTTATACTTCTGACAACGTATAACGATTACTACATGGTCCTGCTTGCCCCTGCTGGTCTCTGCATGCCTCTACATCCCTCTGCTGGCCCCTCCTGACCCCCACTGACCCCTACTGACCACTAGTGACCTTTGTAATAACTTCTCCCATGATATATATGTATTAAACCTTTGTATAATGTAAATCTATTGCAATAAATGATATAATTTCAAAGAATTCTATGTTTCTCATCATTTTTACCTTTCCTTTCCACTCCAAATCATTGCCTTAGTTATAAGACGTCCTGAAACACTTCAGAAGACGTGAAACTCAGAAATTTGCTAAAAATTCCGCGTTTCCAAGAAATTCCAGGAATTTCTAGCTGTTTCAGGAATTTTTCGGTGTTTCAGGCTTTTCCAGCGGTTTCAGGACATTCCAGCTGTTTCAGGCTTTCCAGTTGCCCGAAATTTTTCGTTGTTTCAGGCTTTCCAGCTGTTTCAGGCTTTTCTAGCGGTTCCAGGAATGGAATTTTTCGTTGTTTCAGGCCTTTTTCGGTGTTTCAGGCTTTTCTAGCGGTTTCAGGACTTTACAGCTGTTTCAGGCTTTCCAGCTGCCAGAAATTTTTCGTTGTTTCAGGCTTTCCAGCTGTTTCAGGACTTTGAATTGTTTCAGGACTTTCAAAAATTTAAACGGGACCCCGCTGAAATCTTCTCGAGGAACTTAGAAATTTTTCGGCCGAGAATTTCAAAGTTAATTTTTCGTTTTCGACTTTGTTATCAGGCGGACATGATGTGGGAAGAGGTGGCAGGTATCTTATAACTATGGGAATGCTTTGGAGAGGTAAAGGAAGGTAAAAATGACGAGAAGACATCGAATTCTTTGAAATTATAACATTTATTGCAATAGTTTACATTATACAAAGTTTTAATACATATATATGATGGGAGAAGTTATAAACAAAGGTCAGCAGTGGTCAGCAGGGGCCAGGGGGGTTAGAGGGGCCAGCAAGGGACAGTAGGGACCAGCAGGGGCACGCAGTAGCAAGTTGTAATCGTTGTACGTTGTTAGAAGTATAAGGGGTGGTCAGCAGCGGTCAGCAGAGGCCAGCAGTGGCAAGCAGTGGCAAGCAGACACCAGCAGGGGACAGCAGAGGAATGCAGAGGCATCCAGAGACCTGTAGGGGCAAGCAATAGCAAGTTGTAATCGTTGTACGTTGTTAGAAGTATCAGGAGAAGTTAGCAGTGGTCAATAGGGGTCAGTAGGGATCAGTAGAGGACAGCAGAGGGGTGCAGAGGCATGCAGAGAGATGCAGAGGCATGCAGAGACCAGCAGGGGCAAGCAATAGCAAGTTGCAATCGTTGTACGTTGTCAGAAGTATAAGGGGAAGTTAGCGGTGGTCAGTAGGGGTCAGTAGGGATCAGTAGGGGACAGCAGAGGGATGCAGAGGCATGCAGAGACCAGCAGGGGCAAGCAATAGCAAGGTGCAATTGTTGTACGTTGTCAGAAGTATAAGGGGAAGTTAGCAGTGGTCAGTAGGGGTCAGTAGGGATCAGTAGAGGACAGCAGAGGGATGCGGAGGCATGCAGAGAGATGCAGAGGCATGCAGAGACCAGCAGGGGCAAGCAATAGCAAGTTGCAATCGTTGTACGTTGTCAGAAGTATAAGGGGAAGTTAGCAGTGGTCAGTAGGGGTCAGTAGGGATCAGTAGGAGACAGCAGAGGAATGCAGAGGCATCCAGAGACCAGCAGGGGCAAGCAATAGCAAGTTGCAATCGTTGTACGTTGTCAGAAGTATAAGGGGAAGTTAGCGGTGGTCAGTAGGGGTCACTAGGGATCAGTAGGGGACAGCAGAGGGATGCAGAGGCATGCAGAGAGATGCAGAGGCATGCAGAGACCAGCAGGGGCAAGCAATAGCAAGGTGCAATCGTTGTACGTTGTCAGAAGTATAAGGGGAAGTTAGCAGTGGTCAGTAGGGGTCAGTAGGGATCAGTAGGAGACAGCAGAGGAATGCAGAGGCATGCAGAGACCAGCAGGGGCAAGCAATAGCAAGTTGCAATCGTTGTACGTTGTCAGAAGTATAAGGGGAAGTTAGCGGTGGTCAGTAGGGGTCAGTAGGGATCAGTAGGGGACAGCAGAGGGATGCAGAGGCATGCAGAGACCAGCAGGGGCAAGCAATAGCAAGGTGCAATCGTTGTACGTTGTCAGAAGTATAAGGGGAAGTTAGCAGTGGTCAGTAGGGGTCAGTAGGGATCAGTAGAGGACAGCAGAGGGATGCGGAGGCATGCAGAGAGATGCAGAGGCATGCAGAGACCAGCAGGGGCAAGCAATAGCAAGTTGCAATCGTTGTACGTTGTCAGAAGTATAAGGGGAAGTTAGCAGTGGTCAGTAGGGGTCAGTAGGGATCAGTAGGAGACAGCAGAGGAATGCAGAGGCATGCAGAGACCAGCAGGGGCAAGCAATAGCAAGGTGCAATCGTTGTACGTTGTCAGAAGTATAAGGGGAAGTTAGCAGTGGTCAGTAGGGGTCAGTAGGGATCAGTAGGGGACAGCAGAGGGATGCAGAGGCATGCAGGGGCAAGCAATAG